ACGGATGACAGCTGCGCGTGATTTCATTTACTTTCTGGTGCTTTCACTTCCTGAGACAGTTGTTAGCACTGCGTAACTGCCTCGAGGGTGCTTGACCAATTTTACACAACGTGNTAGCTAAGCGTGAAGCGCCGTGAGGTATTCGGCGAGTGGCATGAAGGGTGCGCTGCATCCTGCTAAGGGTGTTGGGCATCTTGTGCTTACTTCCTTGCGCACGGATGACAGCTGCGCGTGACTTAATTTACTTTCTGGTGCTTTCACTTCCTGAGACAGTTGTTAGCACTGCGTAACTGCCTCGAGGGTGCTTGACCAATTTTACACAACGTGGTGCGATCATCCCTCTTGCGTGGAGTGAGGGTTCTCCACCCCGCACAACGTGATCTACTCGACCACCACTATGGTAACCGCCAAAAAAAAAAAACAGAGGAAAAACAATACACGGTAACCTGGTTGCCGAGCTCACGAAGTGAATTGGCTTGTTATACAACGTCGTTGCCAAGCAAGCGACGAAAACCCAACCCCGATGGCAAACACCGATGGGTTGACTTGTTTTTCAACGTCGTTGCCAAGCGATGAAAACCCAACCCCGGTGGTAAACACCGGGGGGGGCGGCTTGTTTTACAACGTCGTTGCCAAGCGATGAAAACCCAACCCCGGTGGTAAACACCGGGGGGGGCGGCTTGTTTTACAACGTCGTTGCCAAGCGATGAAAACCCAACCCCGATGGTAAACACCGGGGGGGGGAGTGTTCTGCATATTGTGCTTACTTCCTTGCGTACGGATGACAGCAGCTGCGAATGACTTAGAATAATTTATATTTAGTGCTTTCATTTCCAGAGACAGTTATAGTCTAGTCTACGCACTGTGTAACTAACTGCCTCGAGGGTGCTTTACCAATTGAACAGAACGTGGTGCGATCATCCCCACTTGCGCGGAGTGAGGGTTGTCGACCCCGCACAACATGACCTACTCGACCACCATTACAAATAAATGGCGCTCTCACTTCAGAACTTGGCACCTAAAAAATGCAGCTTCAAAAAAATCAAAATGTAAGAACTTGGCCATAAGAACACACTCGTGCTCAGTTCCGACGTGAGGTTAACCCCCTGTTTTTTTTTTTCCTCACATTACACAACAAATCCATCTCTATCTATAGAAATAAGTCTAAAATAGATTATAAATGAATCCATAGCGTGAGCGAAAGGCTACCTGTATGTCTACGGTTTCCCAGACAGCATACAACGATAACTCCCCTGTGGGTGACAGGCTCAACAAGGCAGTTTGGTAGCCATCTTGTGTATCTATCTGTATGTTATGTTGGGAAGTTAGTTGTAGACGGAAGATTTAGGGGAACTCGGCTTGTCGGGTGTTCTATTATAGCACCCTTATGTGGTTGTGGAGCAAGCGCGTCTCGAGGTGTGTATATTTTCGTCATCAACTTATTTTTTGTGTGTGATGTATGGGGGCCTGTGCGACGCGCGACGCGGGAGAACATATTGAGAACCACTAAAAAGAAATCAGGGCTGCAATTTATAGCGAAAAGGATAAAAAAAAGAATGAAAAAATATCGCTCTCTCATTGGGCGATGATGGACAGTCCGTGGCCTGTGTACAATGGGAGAGAACAGCGCCCGCCGAGGCCGTCTCAACTCTAAAAGCCCTATCAAATGTCCCCTCAAATCGAGGGGACGTTTGATAGGGCTTTTAGAGAACAACTGGCGCAAGCGTGGTAAACGGAGCATGAAAAGGAGACTTTCAAGATATTCCTCTAGAGGGAACGCGACACTTTCAAACCAAAGCCCTACGTTGAACGCAGCCTCCTTTCATCGGTGGGCAAGGTGCTTCTTCGAGTTGGCCCTGGTAGCGCTTTCTGACCAAGCGCCCATCGACGCGGCGCAACTTCGCTGCTGAACCTGTTGGGTTCCCGTTGGGTTGCAGCAAGCACCTGCCGCACATCGTCACATCGCGCCGATATCCTCTTCCGCTTCCACTCCTCCCGTCCAACGCCACACAACGATAGTCCATGGCAGCCAACGCATAACCCGGCACTCCCCTCATCGAGGAGTTCAAGGGTGGAGACAGCCATGCCATCCTTGTCCAGGTCAAGGATGCGTGCGGGCATGATCGTCCGAGAATTTGTCTTCGATGCTGCTTTGGAAGTCGGAACGGCGTCATGTAGTCACGACAAGCCGCCAGGAGCCTTAGCAACAGGATTGACGCGCGATCAGCGCGCCCAAGCCGCCAAGTAGCACCCTGAACTCTGTGGAGACTACCATGCAGCGGCGATTGCTGGCGTCAGCTACGCGGATGTGGCCGCTACTGCGGAGAGGCGTTGTGTTGGCGTCACGTTCAAAGTATCTTCCGCAATCAGGTGTGCATAAATTTAGCAGCAAACGCGGATACGGGCATCACTGCTGATGCACAGGGCACGATACTGCTGTACGTCTCCTAGTCCATACTGGTAGGGGTCAGGTTTGGGTTGTAAAGTGTAGACGGCCCTCCGTGCCCGTGGACGTCCCCAATTGTGGATGCGTTTACCATTGAGCGAAGCCCTACAGCAGTGACATTACGTACACACAACATGCACGTACCTCTGCTTGCCTCGAAACGCAAACCACTCATCACTTGACCACTGCTTTTCGCATTAGTCTATTTATTTAGTATACTTTCGTAAAATTGAACAATCAGTCGCCGCGAACTGAGGGAGGGTTCGGTAGGCAGAAGGCAAGTACGCATCCTTACATAGGCCACACGTCTTTCACACATCATGAGTAAGCCATGCGATGCCCAACAAAAACCTGTGATTGCCGTGAAAAAGCGGCTGCTGTGTATTTTCTTGGATGCGCCACTCTGGCCTTTTTCTTGTGACAATACGACGTTACCATGTTTTGCGGCAGGCGGAATGGTGCGCACTACCTTCTCTCGTATCCCCCTTCCTCGTAAAGAGACAAGTCCCCCCGCCCCCGTGCCCATGCAGACAAAAGCGAACACTGCTAGTCAAGATGCCAAACGTCACTGGAAGCCTACATGCATTTGAATCTCAGCTATAGCTGATGTACAACAGCGAAATCGCGTACCTTAGGGAGCGCAAGCTTTTTTTCTGTCCAGAAACCACAACTACAGCCGCTCCCATGCCCACGCGAAAAAAGCACAAAAAGCCCTAAGGTATGCTCCTCGCGTTCACCACTTGATTTATTTCTTGCACCTCCTTGGACACAAGGATGTCCCAACAAGTTTGTTTTTTTTCGGGACACCCCCTTTCCCCCCCTCCCCCGATCCCGTGCCCACGTAAAAAAACACCCGTGGTAGGCAAGACGCGTCATTCAAGGGATTCTATCCTCTCCTTCACCAATTGAATTATTTCCTTTCCCTGTTGGACTTCTGAGTTGCCGCGAACGCCGAGGCTTGCTTCGCCTTATCCATTTGAATTCTTTCCTTTCCCTGTTGGACTTCTGAGTTGCCGAGAACGCCGAGACTTGCTTCGCCTTATCGCTGAAGCACTGATGACAAATTCCAACTCCACCCAACTTCTCACACTGAGTGCACCGACAGACAATTTTGACTGTCCTCCCCCGAGGCTTACTCTTCCGCATAGGGTTGGTTGGGGTACGACGGTCACACATTCTCGACATGCAACAGAAGCGTTGTGTTCCTCTCAGAGTTTGAAGGTTGCCACCCGCCGACTTAATCCTGAATATCGCCACTGGAAGGGTGCCTTTACGCCCCCGACCCCCCCTTTCGGCGTTGCCAATGTTGCACGAAGACATGAGAAAGCAGCTAAGCTCCCTCATCCAAACTGATCTTGGCTGCTTTTCTATGGTGGCCAAACACTCGCCCTCCTCTCGCAGCCCCTTGAGAAGCAGTCCATCGGCAGTTTCTTCTCCTTCGAACACCCCCCTTTCCTCCAATTGCTCGATCGCCTCCTTCACCTCACTCTGCATGTGTCTCAACCACCAGCGAAACATCAACCACGCGTTTGTTCAAGCCTGCATGAACTTCTGCTGAAATAGACGCCGCCAAAACTAGTTTTTAGCACGGTGTTGTGTCTGGTACGCACCGTCGTGCTGGTCCGAGATATCTACTCCCCCCGTGAACTTGTTGTAGTGGAATCTACACCAAGGCTGGAGGCCGTGGGCCTTCTTCGACTGTCCCGCCACGTGTTTGCTGTCGGTGTGGACGAATACAGCGAGAGCGCACGGGGCCGAATGTATGAAGTTCTGTGTCAGCATGATCGGGGTATGAACCTCAGCAGCGTCTAGACACGTACACACCCGTATAACCAACCCCTGGACACATGTCGTGCCAAGAATATCAGGGCCATACGCATGTCATAAACGCCGCCCCCACCTGTACTCCTTCGGTAGAAAGTGCTTCAGGCTAAGGTGGATTGTGGACAAACATTTGACGAGCTTGGAATCCTTCCACTGCACGAACACCAAGGACCCGAACCTCGCGAACACCATCTTGCCCTTCTTCCTGACATACTGTCTCGTGGTAGACCAGTACTGGATCGCCTCTTTCGATCCGCGGTGTGTATCCCTCAGAGTTCCGACGGCAAAAACCCGTGCCACAACAGATACATGAAGAGGATGTGCGAGGTGCAATAATTGTCGCAGGCCATATAGGCTCCTGACCTAAACAACTGCGCCCCAAGTGCCGGGCACGCGTGGAACAGGACAGAAATCACCATTCGGCATACTCGCCCGCAGGGACAATTTGCCCACATGCGAATCCTCGGATCTCCGGTGTAGCCGCCGTCCGTGTATCCCGTGAAGCAGTACCCGCTCCAGCAACATACCCCCAAATCTTTACCCCTGGAAAAAGTGTGGTATGCATACGTCGGCGGGGGAGGTAGCGGGGGTGGTAAGCTAAGTCGACTGGTTCGAAAGCATCTATAGTGCCATAATAGTCAAAGAGTCACACGCAACTTAGGAACGTAGCATGCCATTTCATCACTAACACGGAATACAAATCTTTCCTTCCATGGACGAATGGAAGACAACCACGGAAAAATTGATCGATTTGGGTGGGGGGGGGGGCCTGTGGACGGGGCTTGGGCATGGCACAACGTGTCTCGGCCCTACACGGTACACGCTGTTTGTACACAGTGCATGCTGTCCGTGAGCTACACTCACCATTCGTGATAGGCTTTTTCGGCATATGCCTCACCATGAACTTCGCGGAACGGCTGACACAATTGACCATCTGCTCATCGAAGGAGATCCATCGACACACCAGAGCGGCTTTACTCCTCGCCGAGTTCAACATGGACTCCACCTGACTACCAGTAGACAACAAGACGAAGGCGCGGCAGGAGGCGGGGAGCGACCATGGATGTGACCGGGGTGGGGGTGGGGGTGGGGGTAGGTGGCGTTGGTGCCTCCTGCATTCGACGAATGAATTGCCTACCGTATGGTGTACCATGTTTTACCCCGTACATAGGGCAAGAGTTGAAAACGGGGGGTGATATTATTTGGGCAGTATAACTCCCGGCTGGGGGAAAAACAGTTTTTTCATGGCAGCAAGTTCCACATTCACCTACATGCTCTTGGTGTAATGTTAACTTGGAAGTGGCAATTAATATTTTGGGTTTGTCTGCCAGACGTTGTGTGGGTATCCGTGTTTGGGGGGGGGGCGTGTTTCTGAATATGTGAAAACATGTGCCCCTCTTTTCGACCGTTGTGTTTTTGTCGTTGGGGAACGAATCCTAGCAGATTCCGACAAGTACTATCCAGGCACGGCCTCGCACTCAAAACCGGGCGCCAAAAACCTTATGGGCGCCAAATACCAACTGTCATTGCATAGAGATATCTCCAATCTCTACGGACAAGCCATCTTGACAATTCATACCGGATATGGTGTAACGAATCCCAACCCTCTCAAACGGTCCCGTCCTGCAATCGTTTTGGAGCCGCCGAGCTTGCCATGTGAAAAAAACGGCCGTAGGTCAGGAGGAACATGTCTCGCGGAAGGCAAGCACGGACGAGCTTGCAGTCGTGGAAGGAGTGATAGCTCCAGTGGTCCTGCAGCTCCGCCAACTGGACCTGCCCGATGGCAAGGGTGATCCCGATGACACCTAGCATCATCTTCGTGGTGATTGCCCCCCACGGCCACACATATTTACCTTTCTTCTCTTTCTTGTCGCGGTGACGCTGCTCCTGTCCTGTGGGGTTCTTCGTGTTCGTGCAGAACTTGAAGTAATCGTTTATTTGTCGCGACGGTGGCCGTGGGTGGTGGGCGAGTGCGAATGGGTTATCAAGAATGTTCAGAAAGTGAATTGAGAGTGTCCCATGCGCCACGACCCAACCACCCATTACGGTTCAATCACGGCATGAACACGTGACGAACAGCCCCCCCCCAAAAGCAAGAAGTGCTACCATTATCAACGACACAACAGGAACGAGCGCTTGCACAAACCTTCAGGACCAGGTGTGAGATCACCGCCGCCGGGAACATGATGCAGAAGAACGTGAACGCCAGCTCCCCTAGTCCATCCGCCGAGCACCTGCCCAGCTTCTCGGGGTCAAACATCGGCAGCGCACCCAATGTTTTCTTCGACGGTTTGAACTTCAAATCGTGTCCCTCTCCCACTTTATTACGGTGGCAATCGTAGTACCCGCGCCCGTCTCCTCGGTAGGAGCCTTCACCGTCAAAATCAAACCCATCACCCCCAAATGAGCCCGCAGCACCGCCCCCCGCTCCGGTATGACTGCTGTCGTTATCTGCTGCACCCTCTCCCTCACGCCTATTCCGCACGGTGCTTCTCCTACTGCTGTCGCAGTCTCCACCGCTATCTCCACCACGGGCATCCTTACCGCTGCATTGGCCGCCGTCGTATCCAGCCGTACGATCTGCATCTTTCATGCCGCGTGTTATCCAGACGTGCTCGTCGGCGGTATCTAGCCCCTCCTCGCCCTTCTCCTCCTCGCCTTCCTCACCACCCCCCTCCGGAGCATCCTGATGGACCTTCGACTTGGCCATGTTCTTTTTCTGTTGTGGACCATGACAGGGAAACAGCCGGTTATTGCAGGGAACAGGGTAGGGGCGTGGGTGGCTAAAGGTCAGGGGCCATTGTTCCCATCGCATCACGTGATCGAAAGATTGTGGACGGGCGTTTTGCATACGATGGTAAGGGAGTGCAAGGACGAGGTGGACACACCAAGAGGAAGATATGGGGCGTGGGGGCGGGGGGAGACGGAGAGACGGAGAAAGCATATCGCACACCCACAGTAGCATCACACACGCTGCTGATAGCTACGAAACAAGATGATTTACAGCAATACACGTTTGCAGAGTAGGAGAAGCGACAACAAGCATACACTAAAGTGGTGCACCATCAAAATTAAATTTCGTGCGAGGGACACAAAAAACAATACCCCCGACGCGCGGTGGTGTGCGTAAATGATGTCAATACTCCGTGTACATTTAACTTTAGATTTCGCCGAACGAAGTCGTACCTCTGTAGCTTTCGTGCTGCCGTTGTGGTTCCAAACGACAACACACCACACCGGAAAGCGGCGAGCGCTTACCGAAAAAAAAAAACTCCTAGAAATATCAATGCATACATCCTTACCTTGCGGTCGTTTCGGAAGTCATGTATGTGTTGCACAAACTCGAAGACGAACTTCAGGGCCGCCTTTCCCCAGCCCTCCGGTATCTTGTACACCATAGCGTTGATCTGCTGAGGGCTTTTGATAGTCACGGACGGCTCGTCGTAGTCTGCCAAGTCCCCCGGAAACTCGCCGTCGCTACCGCCGTCACTCATCTCCTCGTCCCCCTCAGGGTCCTGTGCGTATTGCGTTTCGTCATCACGGCAGTTTTCACCCCTACCGTAAGTACGGTTTTGGCCACCCTTGTCCACCATAGCGTTGATCTGCTCAGGGCTTTTTATGGTCACGGACGGCTCGTCATAGTCTGCCAAGTCCCACGGAAACTCGCCGTCGCTACCCCCGTCACTCATCTCCTCGTCCCCCTCAGGGTCCTGTACGTATTCCGTTTCGTCATCACGGCCGTTTTCACCCCTACCGCAAGTACGGTTTTGGCCACCCTTCTTACTGTGCATGCTACAGAGCACACCACAGGGAGATTTCGCCTCGGCCCCGCAGCGCTGCCCTTGCCTGTTCCCGCTGGCGAATAAAGCATGGCAAGTCTCGCGGCGCTTGCGCTTTCCATGCTTCTTTTTCGACGGATCTACGCCGGCAGCACCTCCTTCTAGCGTCCCCGACTTCGCCGCATCTGAAGACAGCTCTTGCGCTTTGCTGCTGGAGAGCTTCGTTGGCGTTTCCGCCGGCGTCGGCGACTCATTCGCCCCGGTCGTCGCCGGCATGCTGCTGGCAGAAGGAAGTGTGGCGGGCTTGATTGCCGCTTTCCCCGGCGGCGCCTCCGGCTTTGATACGCCGGTGGGTGCGGTTGTGACTGACCGGGCACCTCCAGCAGAACGGGGAGATCGCACGCTGCTGTTTGTCTCGGTTTCGTTATCATCATCAGTGTCGAGAGCAATGGGAGAGCCCCGGTGTTTCGTCGAACGCTTGTCCGATGTGGTTGGACACGGGAAAAAATCGTCTGCAGCCTTCCTTTGCCCAAAAACAGACTCGCCGGAGGAAACCCCGTGCGAGCATGTACGGCAATGCCCACGGCACGAGTTCTTGTGGGATCACCATAGCGCTGAAGTGGTTCAGCTTTGTTTCCGCCACGTTGCTGCTGCTCGGGTTGCGACCCTCAGCATTACTATCTGCACCGTAGCCCCCGCAGTCATTGTACACAAGGTGCAGAAAATCCTTCCCAGATTGCCAACGAAACAGCCCGTGGTCTTGCCTACTTCCACGATTCGAAGCCCACCTCCAGCTTTTGCTTCCCAGACCACGATATTCCACTCCTTCACCTCAGCTACCAACGCCAGCTGACATACCGCCAAATAATCATACCCCAGTTGTTTGTGGATGTCCCCTACCACCTCTCGCACAGTCTCCACTGGTTTGCGTCTTGTAGCTCGACCGGATGAGGAGGTGCGCTTTCGGTAGAAACCCTTGTCGAAGTTGAGATTTGAGTAGCATTCTTCCTCGGACACCGTGTTGGTCATTAACTGACCGTAGTCCTCAGCGAAAGCAACTGCTGCCATTCCATCCACCATTTCTTGGCGGGTCTCTCTTGTCTCCTCAGGTGTTGCACTCACGACGCTATCTCGCTCGGGGTGCAGCAGCCTGTAGATGCTGTGAAGTGAGCAATTGCCGTCACCCCGGCCTCCAGCACCGTGCACTTTGCCGTGTCCTCCCCGGAGGGAACTGGGAGGTCACCGCTATAACGCTTTGAGGCTGCATGCAGAAGTTGTCGGCCGTACGTTTGCGCATCGAGACCACGAGTGGCGGAGGGTGTGTGTACTGTGTGGTGTATTGCGCCGCGTACGGTACGCGGCACAGCGATGAAAGTGGGATACTCATTGGCTGACCTCACAGTCTCGCATAGCACGAAATCGCGCCATGAACATTATTGCCTAAAAAATGAACTTTAGGGTATGGTAAATCTCTGTAGGGTACACGGGTGTCACAGAACTTCTGTGAAATCTCTGTAGGGTACGAGGGGTGAAACAGAACTTCAGTGAAATCTCTGTAGGGTCCGAGGGGTGTTACAGAACTTCTGTAAAATCTCTGTAGGGTACGAGGGGTGTCACAGAACTTCTGTAAAATCTCTGTAGGGTGACATTAGGTGTCACAAAACTTCTGCAAAAAAAATCTCTGTAGGGTACGAGGGGTGTCACAGAACTTCTGTACTGTAGGGTACGAGGGGTCTGCCTTGTTTTTACTCCTCCGGTCCCCTGCATGCCGTGCTTCTTGTTGAGGTGTGTGTTGACGTTTCTGCGGTCTCCTCTGGAGCACGGAACCACCTTCTTCGTACTGCGGCAGTGTGCGCTTGCCAGGCAGTAGTACCTGCGGTTCGTGCGTTCGCTCTCCTCCGGGTACATTCCGAGCGAGTACTTTAAGTGTGCGCTTGCCAGGCAGTTGTACCTACTGTGGTTCGTGCGTTCGCTCTCCTCCACGTACACTCCGAGCGAGTACTTTTAGTAGTACCTGTGGTTCGTGCCTGGCATGCGCACACTGCCGCAGTACGAAGAAGGTGGTTCCGTGCTCCAGGGGAGACCGCAGTAACGTCAACACACACCTCAAGAAGAAGCACGGCATGCAGGGGACGGGAGGAGTAAAGAAGGCAGCCAAAAAATGGCAGACCCGTCGTACCCTGCAGAGATTTCACAGAAGTTCTGTGACACCCCTCGACGCGGACGCCCTTCGTTACATAAGCCGGGGGCGCTTGGAAGTTATCCACAGCAGCAGCGATGTCGGCATCCACCTTCGCTACTACCTCCCCGTTCTTGTGGGGGACGAGTTTCGCGCCGAGTACCGGCACGCCCTCAGTGCTGCTGTTCGAGCCTTGCTGCTGGTTGCTCTCGGGCGTGCCTTCGTTTGTCTCGCCCTCGCCACCTTCACCCGCCACCGTATCAACCACCGCACCCGTGTTTGAGTTTGGCGGGGTGGAGGAGCTGCCGAGCTCCGCAGCAGCGTTCATGTTACCCTCTCGACCTCACACAGGACAGTTCACAGAAGTCAGAAGCTACCGATCTCGGTGTCTGCGTTCTGTCTATAGCTAGCTGTGTGTGTTTTTTTATTATTAGCATCGACCGCGCTAACCGGCTGACCAATTACAAGACGTCAGTGCCAGCGGGTAAAAACCAAGGTTCCTGGAAGGGGGACCAAATTCGAAGAATGCGCAATGCGCTAGATGCGAATGCCAATACGACTCTCTCTACATATATTTTGTTTCACGCAGACACACATCTCAGCTACACAAATGCCCTCGCTCGAATCTAGGAAGCCACTGATGGAAAGAGCGGAGGACAGCAAAAGGGTTGATTCAAGCCCAGCCGAAGCCAGGGTATCGTGGTATGCTGCATCTCCCAATTTATTTGATAATCGTGCACTCCCAAGTGTCAGCAGCTAGNAGCTCCACACATGCCCTCGTCCGAACCTAGGAAGCCACTGATGCAAAGAGCGGAGGACAGAAAAGGGCTAACTCAAGCCCAGCCGAAGCCAGGATATCGTGGTATGCTGCATCTTCCAATTTGATAATCGTGCACTCCCAAGTGTCAGCAGCTAGGTGACTCAAACAAAATAGCAACACATTAACTGCCATAGCTCCACACATGCCCTCCCCCGAACCTAGGAAGCCACTGATGCAAAGAGCGGAGGACAGGAAAAGGGCTAACTCAAGCCCAGCCGAAGCCAGGATATCGTGGTATGCTGCATCTTCCAATTTGATAATCGTGCACTCCCAAGTGTCAGCAGCTAGGTGACTCAAACAAAATAGCAACACATTAACTGCCATAGCTCCACACATGCCCTCCCCCGAACCTAGGAAGCCACTGATGCAAAGAGCGGAGGACAGGAAAAGGGCTAACTCAAGCCCAGCCGAAGCCAGGATATCGTGGTATGCTGCATCTTCCAATTTGATAATCGTGCACTCCCAAGTGTCAGCAGCTAGGTGACTCAAACAAAATAGCAACACATTAACTGCCATAGCTCCACACATGCCCTCCCCCGAACCTAGGAAGCCACTGATGCAAAGAGCGGAGGACAGC